CCCCGTCTACCTCATAGACTTGGAATGAGGCTAAATGAGGGATGGGTTAAATGCCAGTACAAAGAAAATTGGTAGTGGTGGAAAAGGGTTCTGGACTCGTTGCCGTCCACTGATTTCAGGCAGTAGGTGGCATATTGTCTGAAGGGCATGGAACTTTAGTATTCCGAGTGACAGAGTTATGGCGACTGCAGGACAGTGGTTATTGTAGGAATGAGAACACTTTGACTCCCCAAACACTGGACTTGGGGCAACGCTGGAGCTACTCAGCCTTTCTGAGAACACCTGTATTCAGTCCTTTCCAGGGACTGCGTCCCCCCAGACATGGTGTGCGATGAACATGGACTCATTCGGAGTGACAGGGAAGGAGCCTCTTCCCTCAAGGTTAGGTCTTTAATCCCAGTTGAAATTGTGGCAGCTCAGGGTCACAGGTTTGATCCAGGTGCCCAGCTACTGCTATCACTGGAAGGTAGAAGCATAGGAGAGCTGTTGTTTATTAGAGAAACGGTTTGGGAAATATGGGTCCAAGGGCTGGGGGTGCGGGTCCATGGTAGGAGTGCTTGCTGGTGTGCATGAGGGCCTGGGTTTAACTCCCGTACCACCAAAAAATTATGTGGCTCAGCTTGGTCCCTTTCTCCTGAAGCCGGTGGCTGGGTATTATATGAATGATGGTGTTTTTTCAGTGAACCATTCATGAGCAATTAAAAAATTCCTTCATACATTGCTAAAGTCAGCTCCAGAGGCATTTTTTATTATTGGTCCTCTAATAGAAGGTTCTGCTCTGCCTCCTCTTGGGAAAGCTTGGAAAAGAAATGTTTGTCTTTAACAGCCCACCTTCCCTGGAGCACAGGGAACAACCTTGTTTACACCTCTCCAGAAGCAGGGTGGGGAGTGAGGTGACCTTTGGCTGCTGTCCGTGGTGCTGGCATCAGTTTGGCTTGTGGGTGTAGGAACCAAAGCTGCGCTGGAGGTCTGATTGACTTCCAAGTTTCCTGAGAGGATGGGGTGAAGAGGGGACCAATGCAGATCTCTCCAGCTCTCTAATAGGAAATGTTTACCAGAGACACACTCCTCCATTTCCTCCCACCAGAAGACAGAGGGCTCGGACTTTATCGATGTTAATGGAAGAGCTAGTGGCGATCGGATGGGGAACAGAAAATCAGTGATTATTCTGCAAAGGAACTCAGATAAGACAAGCATGGGACTTCTGGGCCGAGCCAAGGATGTTCATGGTGGCCCTTCATGGAAGCTAGGGCATACTTAAGAACACACACACACACACACACTCACACATGTATCCATGTGCAGTCTGAGTCCCCAAAGCCCACTTTCCCCTCCAGCACCAATGGAAGTCTTGGGATGGGACAGTGCAGCTATCTATAGAATCTGTTGCCTGTTTCCGAATTTACAGACCCTTGTCCAGGAAAGGGATCATAGCCACTGCTGTCTCTTCAGAGTGGCATTCTGCATATCTGTATAGTCACTGGGTGGCACTGGCAGGTAGACCCTTTACTGAGTTCTGGGAGACAGGCCTCATAGCTTAGGCTGTACTCTCCCCTCCAGCTCAGATCTACTAAACCTCAGGTATTTTGAACTTGGTAATGGGGTGAGTAGAAGCAGATACTGAATGTATAGAAGAGACGAGAGGAGGTGTGAGGCATGTCCAAAAGCCTTGGTCTCTGTGCAAGGCTTCCAGGCATGCCCTGCTTCTCTCGGTCATATCTGAATGGCTCTCCATGGGAAGTTCACCGGCTGACAGCTTCTGTGGCTAGGGGGCCATGTCTGATGGGCCAGAGGAAGTGTGAAGCAGAAGCTACACCCAGTTAATTGGAGTGGGAGGGAAGGAAGGAGAAAGAGGCAAGTCCTGACATGGGGAGGGTAGTCTGGGCTACAGAGGGAGCGGTACAGAGTGCTGAGAGATCACGTGAATGGAGGATGAGTGATTGTGGATACATCATATGGGGAAAACTGTGTGCGGCCTATGAGGGCGGCCAGAGAGTGCTGACTTAGGCAAACAGAGATTCTCTTGGCCTGGCCCTTCTCCTGCCTCGGGGCTCCAGGGTTCCTGCCCACCTCCATTCTGCTTTCATCTTGCCTGATTGACTCCATTTCCCCGCCCGTATCCCTCTTCCTTTGAGGAAGGGCAGAGTGGTCAGTCTAGGATGGCCTTCGATTCTGGTGGTCCAGGCTCTGAAAGCTCCTTTGTCACCAAGAGTGGAGCTGCCTCTGAGCCATCTCGGCGGATCCATTGGCACCCAGACCCACTGTACATGGGCTTCTGTGCCTATTGTTCACCTCTGGGAAGCCCGACTAGGCTTGGCTGTTCCCACTCAGATAGAAACTCGTCTGGTTTTGTCACAACACACTCTTCCAGACCGATTGTCCAGACTGCCCCATCGTTAAGGGAGTTACTCCCAGAGCCTGAGAAGCCAAGGTGGGAGACGGGGGTCAGATCTTGCCAGGAGTGGGAGAAAAGTAGATCCCAAACCAAGGAGTAAACATTTTATTTTAACGCTTGGTAATATAAATTATTTTCAATATAAAAAAGAAGACAGGCTGGGGGATAGGGACAAGCCAAAAGACGTGAAGTAAGACGTGGAGCAGACCACTTCAGAGTGGCCGAAGAGCCAAGGCGGAGCTTTAAAATACCGTAAATGAGGCTGGGACAGACTCCCTTTCCTAGAGAAAAGGGGCAGGCAGAGCCTGGTGAGTGTTCATCCCTTCTGCCGCAAGGCCCAGATTCGATCTGAGGATGTACATGGTGTGACGTAGCCAGAGATGAGATGGACCCTGACAGGAGGTTTAAAGACTGCTAAAACTGTAAGTATCCCAATCCTTGGAAAGGTGAGATAAAGAGGGTTGTGAGTTCAAAGACAGCATGAATCACACAAGTGTCTGACTCAAAAAAGAAAAAAGTAGTCTAATAAACCAATAAGACTTCATCACTCTTCTCAAAGAGCTCACGTGCTTAGACAGGGACCCACCAGGTGTACACCAGGTACACAATCACTTAGCTCATGCCATGGTAAATGCTTAGACAGCATGCCAGCGAACGCTGTAAGCACGGGAGGAACGGGTTGAATCCCTCCCCAAGCCACCCAGGGCTATTAACTATCATCCGAGTTGACTCTTTAAGGATGTGTTAAAATCTGATGGCTTTGGTCCTTGAGGAGTGACCAGGAGAAGTACCGAGCGAGAGAAAGGGTTGCGGTTCTGTGAGAGCCAGCCGAGTCAGGCCACGCACACGCTTTACACGTAGGTCACATCCTACTTTCTGAAGTTTGTCCAGACAGACAGGCCTCAAGGAAAGGTGTGCCTCCTGTGCCTAACAGAGAGCAGATGACTCCAGCTTCCTTCCGTGGGGCTGTCTGTCTACAAACTGCAGGTTGATGCTCCTCTCGGGTACCAGGACAGTCCGGGTCATGGGTCTGACTGGGAGGGCACCCGGCTCAGGCAGCACCTCAAAATGGGTCAAGATCTAAAAAGGGAAGAAGAAGGTTATCACTATGAGTGAGCCTTTGATTGGCAAAGAACATTTTTAGCATCAGAATGGCCACCATTTGGATGGCATCTGTGGCCAGGAAGGGATTTCTTGGTCAATGAGGGCAGGAGTTATGGAAGGGAAAATGAGAGTCCAGATATCTTTGCTTATACTCCAGACCTATAATGGGAATTGGCTGAGTCTTACATGTTTCACTGTGCTTGTCAGAGGACAAGAACACCCAGTCAGGGGCTTGTATAAGTTCTACATCACTTACCTGGACCAAAGCCATTTGTAGTTCAAGCTCCGCCAGGCGCCTCCCAATGCAGCTGCGTTTGCCAAAGCCAAAAGGAAGAGATGCAAATGGGTGGGGGGCTGGGCTACCCCCCAGCCAGCGAGCTGGATTAAAAGAATTTGGCTCTGGAAACTGGGCAGGGTCCCTTGAAGTGGCATAGTGACACAGAGAGACCAGCGTCTGAAGGGGGTAAAATGCAAACTTGTCAGTTCAGTAGCCGATTTGTGAGTCCACACTGGCAGTTCTAGCCCTCAGGAAACAAGCAGGAGGATGGTGAGTTCAAGGCCAACTGAGGTACACAGCAAGATCCTCTCCCCTCCCCCCAAAGCTAATAGTTTGAGCCTGAGAGTGCAGGATGGGGGACTCTGAAGAAGATTCATGGACTAGTGTAAAAGCAGGCCCTGGTTGATGGTGAGGAACTTTCTCCATTGCTCCGTTATATCTTAGAAAAAGGTATGATAAAGGTGGGGGGTCTGGAAGGTTTGGGGGAGTGTTTGAGGATAGCTTGGGCCCACGGGGGGTAAGGAATGACTTAGCAGAAGGATCTACTCACATTTTGGGGGATAATATAATCACCCACACAGATATCTCTGTCTGGGACACGGGAATTCCCAGGTACCACAGGGTACAATCTAGGTCACAAAACAAAAGATGGATTCAACAAGGTGCGGCTGGGGACCCAGCTCCTCCTCCTCCTCGGGAGTAGAGAGCCAGTTTTCCCTGTTCTCCCTCTCAGCTTCCATCCACTGTCCGCTTCCTTGGCATTTTCTCCTCCAGCATTCTCTCTAGTTCCTACTTTTCTCCCTCCTCACCTTAACACTTCCTTGATCACCGCCTTCAACAGGCGTAGCTGGGACAGAGCTTGGGGCTGGGCACGGGAGCCAGGGTCCACAGCAGCTTTGATCTCACGGTAAAGTGCGGACTGGACTTCAGGGTGCCGGGATAGCTCATAGAGCGTCCAGGAGAGCGTATTGGATACCTGGAGGAACAGGTCAGACCATCTGCTGTTAGACATGGGAATTCTGGTGAAGTGGGTAGCAAAGGGAGGGCGTGGTCTGGAACCAAACAGTTCCTAAGGCCAAGCCTGTATACATGATCAAAGTGGATGCCCTGAATAGTGAGTGGCCCTGGAGCCAGGGGAAACTGCGCTCTGGAAATGGGACTATAGAGAATCCTCACCGTGTCCACTCCAGCCAGTAGTAGCTCTGTCACGTTCCCCACGATGGACTGGACAGACAACTTTTCCCGAAAAAGGAAGTTGGTTAAGTGATGCCCAGACGGCACGTTCTCCCCAAGTTTTCCCTGTTTTCGCACGGTTGTTTCGCCTTCTCGCTGCTCCACGTGCTTCTGGGCTGAGAAAGGCAGATTGATGCCTCATGATGCCGGTACAGCTTTAGATACTCTAACACGTCTCACCTCCCCCACCCCGCCCCCAGCCAACACACACTTCTGTGCCTTACCAAAGGCGAACATTTGGTCCCAGTCTCGGCATAGGCGGGCCCAGGGTCCGGGTACAAGGCGGTGCATCCAGTTGGGCATTGCCATGGTCATGAGTGTGGACACAAACACCGAGCCCACCGCATGGATGAAGGTCTCTGTGTCCGGAGGGACTTCAGCCTCCAGGCAGCCCAGGCGCGAACCCAGCAGCACCACACCTATGCCTGACCGGCCGGAAGGGGGCGCAGTCAGACACCAGGCGTCTAGGTCCCAGAGCCACCGACACTTGTCCCTAACTGCTATTTTAGGATTCACCTTCTAGGCCAAATTTGTAAAACTCTCCCGCCACATCCTGAACGAGGTTGGGTAACCCAGAGCCACGTCCCCGCTGGCGCCTTAGTCGTCGCACAAGGTCACGGACCACTTTGTCGAGAGTTCCTGCATAGCCAGCCGCTGCTTGAGGCCGGAGGAGTAGCGGGGCCAGGAGACTTCGGAGCCTCTGCCATTCTTCACCATCCCTGCCCGGGTGCAGAGAGCGCGCATCAGGGAGGTGAGCGTGTGTGGAGAAGGCTAGGGTGACCAGAAGTATCGTGCCTGTTTCCTCCGAGTGTAGAGTGTAGGAACCTGCCCCTAACCTAGCCCATCTTTCATCTCCCTTCTTTACTCGTTTCCTGCCCAGGGATGGGAGTGGGTTCTAGGGTAAGCTGAGTCACAGAGGCTTACATTCCGTACAGAGGCTAGTACCACGGATTCTTAGGATCCTGGCCTCAAAGTGGGGCGGGGACAGGCAAGGACTTGGCTCTGCCTGAGTTTGGATGGTACAGATTGGAGAACTCGGAGATGCCAGAAGGTTGGTGGAAACTGCCGACTTCTCTCCAAGCCCAACTTGGCTGGATACAGGAGAAGGGCAGGGATGGAGGATTGGGAGGTCAAGGGATCACTCACGCTGTTAGCAATCCGCAAGCCCGTTGGTAGCGGCGACGGTGCTCTGCCCAAGATGAGAAGCTGCAGCGCTCTGGACAGGAGCTCTCTTGTCGCAGCAGCTGCTCCACAAGTGCAGGGGAGGCCACATATACAGTGCGAAGTGTCCCGAAGCTACCGGACCATATTGGCCCGTAGCGCGCAGTTCCCTGAACCTGAGAACCCGTGCAGAGGACGTTTGAACACTTGGGAAGGTGACTCTTAGTTTAGCTTGTGCCAAGGCCAAGGGCGGTGGCTAGGTTAAGGGGAGCTTTTCCAGTGCCGGCCCAGATGCTGCAAACTTTTTCTTCCATCCCACGAAAGTTTGGGCGGGAATGACAAAATAGAGGAACTTTGCATAAAGCAGACGTTTAGGGCTTCTTTTTAGGTATCTGGCTTTAGCCTAGGGGGAGCAGTTTCTTCAAGGCTCCTCTGCTAGATTGCACCTCAAGACGAACCTCCAGGAAAAGAAAAGGAACGTGCAGCTTTAAGCCACATCAGGTTAGCACAATGCTCTCACCCTTCCCGTACTCTTGTCCTGAATCTGCAGGGTCTCCTATCGTAAAGTGATAGCAACCCCTTTGCCAGATGTACTTGTAGACTCTGGTTCATTACCCACAGGTACCCATTCTCACTGGCCCTCCTTCTTGTGTTCTTCACTGTGGTCCTTTCTGCCATTAAAGCCAGTTCTCCCAGTTCAGTCCCACCAGTGGCAGGGACTGTCCCTCTTACCTGCAGTTCATGTAGTCTGGACAGCCCCCCTTTGCAGAAAAGTTCTGCCAGGAATCTTGGCATAGAGGGCCCAGGGATGTCAGACAAGCTCTGGAAAGCTAAGTCAGAGCTTCTGGAGGCCAGTGCAGCATCCAGCTGTGGAGGCAGGTGCACTCGATGGAGCACTCTGGAGGCGAGGCTGACAGCCTGGGTCATGTTTTATGTGCAGGGAGTTCGCCACTTCTCCAGAGCATCTTTTGCACTTGCCTGAACCCCTTTATAACCCTTGGCCCTGGGGGTGAAGACGCTCCTGTCCAGCCCTTCAGCCAATCCCTTTTGCAGAGAGCACAGCACCCAGGAGCCGTAGGCGGGGCTGGCTCCCTTGCTCAGTTGGGTCTCCTTTGGTAATGATTGCCGTCAGGGCTCCCTCAGTGCTCCTCTTGTATGCTTTGGTCCAGCGGCAGTTCTCTTCCCGGGAAAGGTTACTGAGCATGGATTTCGGAAACCAGCCCCTCATAGTCCCACCACTTCCCCGGGGAGCCAAGTCTCCTCTCTATCACCCTGAATGGAAACAAGGTAAAGGCAGTTTCAGCCCCCGTATTCTAGGTTCGCTCCTTCTCTGCTGCAGGGATTTACCTGCGATAGCCTAGCCACAACTCTCCTCCTCCTATGTCTAACACAGACAACACCACATGTAGGTCAATGGGTTAAAATGGTTCCCCCCCTTTTTTCGTATTTTAGTGTTTTTTATGTGTATGATTTGCCTTAATCCATGTGTAACATGTGTCTGGTGACAGTGGAAGTCAGGACTTAGATCCCCTGAACTTTAAGGATGGCTGAGCCACCTGTTGAGTGCCGGGAACTGAACTCAGGCTTTCTACAAGAGCACCAAGTGCTCTTAACCACTGAGCCATAGCTCTGATCCCTTTTCTTAAGATTTTAAACCAAGCAGATGCATGTTGGTTTGTGCACACGTGTGTGCATGCATGTGCATGTATATGCATGCCCAGAATCCAGGAGAGGACATCGGGTCTCCTGGAACAGGAGTTACAAGCTGTTGAGAGCCACCCATCTTGGGGTCCTCTGAAAGAAGACTGAGAGCTCTTATCCACTGAGTCATCTCTCCAGACTCCATCTTTGTTTCTTGGGAGAGGGAGTGTCTTAGCTCAACAAGTCCCTTCCTTCCAGACATGATGATTAGGGTTTGAGGAAGAGAAATGAAGAGAGTGTCCGAGGGCCAGCAAGTAAGTGAACTTGACACCAAGCCTGATGATCTGAGTTTGATTCCAGGGACCCAGAGTGAAAAACGAGAACTGAGGCCATTGGGTTGTCTTCTACCATCATACATGGGCCTGTGCACACCCTCACCTCCACACACACAAAAATGTAAATAATAATACACTCCAGGCAGTGGTGTACACCTTTATCCCAGCACTCGGGAAGCAGAGGCAGGCGGATCTCTGTGAGTTCGAGGCCAGCCTGGTCTATACAGTGAGTTCCAGGACAGCCAGGGCTACAAAGAGAAATCTTGTCTTGGATAATAAATCAAAGGAGTTTTGTTTTTGGAAAGTATGTAAGTTTGGAGATTCTGTCTTTGGAGAGCATGAAGGCTAAGGTCACTCAACATATTTTGGGCATCTTTGTGGTCAGCAGCCACATACTACTTTGAGCCACAGAATCCTCCCATTCAGGGGCTGGAGAGATGGTTCAGCAGTTAAGAGCACTGGCTGCTCTTACAAACAGGACTTGGTTCCCAGCACCCACATCAGTCTCTCACAACTGTCTGTAGCTCCAGTTCCAGGGGAACCAACTCCCTTTTCTGGCCCCCAAGGGCCCAGGCATGAGTGTAGGGCACATACCTACATGCAGGCAAATACACACATACATTTTAAAAAATAATATTCCAGTTTAGCTCCCTACTCCTCGGTCTTTCTTCCTCCGCCTTCCCTCCCTCAGCCCATCAGGTAGTATGCCAGTCAGTTAGCTGGGAAAGTCTGGAATCAAAGGTCACCGTGGTATCCCTCTCGCCCTCCAGTATGAGAGACGGCAGCACCGACGGCCAGGAGACGGGAGGAGGCACGTGATACACACCCCAGCATTCCTGGGAAACAGCAGCATGGGCACGCCAGCACACACACTATCCCCAGGACTGCAGAGTAAACACAACGGGGGGTGAGCAACCTGAGCCAAACACACAGCTTAGACAGCAGGGCACTGCCCTCTTCACTCCAGCTGAGGAGAACAAAACCCCACACCCCTCCAAATACACCCTCTGGTCCAAGGTCCTTTGACCTTCTCGGTCAGCTTCTTCTGCTTTCTTCTGACAGCGGAGGGGCAGGAACACAGAGTCAGTGATGGGTGAGAACACAGGCCACACCCAGCTTCTCGGAAAGATCATGGCTGTGTCCCAGCAGTCTGAGCAGGCCTGGGGTGCAGAATTGATCTTTCTTCTAGTTACTAGATGAGTCCAGCTCAGGCAGGGTTAGAAGTCAGTGGTCTGGCAGGGTGGGATTGGGGGTCACCGTCTGGAGGACGGGATCCTGTATCCTTCGGAAGATGGCCGGGAAATTCTTTCCTCCATTGCGTAGAACTTTCTTTCCTTCCTCGGTTGAAGTGCCTAGATGTTCCACAATGGGATCTTCACTCTGCAGAAAGAGGGTCCAGCATGTCCCTATCCACCTTTCAAACTGCCCTCGCTGACTAGACTCCCATTCCTGGCCCTACACTAAGTTCAAGAACTAGAGAACCACTTTGAATAGGGCTGTGTTCTTGCAATTCCCTCAGGCATCTTACTAGCTCTTCCAGAGGCACGCGCTCGAACAGTGGGTGCTCTTCAAAATGGGTGCACATCCACTGGTGGAGTTCCAGCACATCGGTGATGGTGTACACCAGGCCCTGGAGAGACAACATCATCTAGATATGGGCTGAACGCAACTGAGCAATGAGACAGGCATGACAGTATAACTGCCTAAATGTCCCCCCAGTTAATTCTTGGTGGAGAGCCCCGGGCAGGCCACCGACACCTTCCCGCTCACCCCGATGCTCAGCACGTAGGCATATTCCGCCAGGAGCGTGGCACTGATGATTCGCCACTTATGCTTCGTTCGCTTAAAATGTGGGTCGGGAAAGAGGAAGAACATCTTCGTCAGCTGTGGGACAGATGTGCACCAACAGGAAGGCTTGTGAGTGCCTGGCTTCCTGCTCCACCGGCCGACCAGCCCAGCCCACCCCACCCGGGCTGCTCCCCAGGCTGCACCTGGCCCTTGCGGAAGAAGTTAGGCAGGTGTTTCATGGCGTTACTGCGAAGGCAGGCAATGTTCTGGAATCCACCTCCAGGAGCGGCACGGAGGGCCCGAATCCTGTCTTGTACATAGTCGGACACCTTTACCCGGATCTCCAGACCCAGAATCAGGGTATCTGGGAAGAGTGGTGACAGTGCCACTGGGGACAGAAACGGCAAAGGGATCATCAGCGTCATAGTTCGAGGAAGAACCAAGAGGTTTTAACACAGGAGAGAAAGTTTCTGTGTGTAGATATCTAAGCCATGAGCGGGGCAGATACCCACACCTGCAGTTTTCTGCAGGAGACAGAAAAGACATAAAACTGTCACAAGTCACAGGAGCAGTGTGGTGGCTCATGTGTTTAATCCTAAGCATTGGAAATAGGGGAAGGGGGACAGAGGCAGGCGGGATCTCTGTGAGTTCAAAGCCAGCTTGCTCCAGATAGCAAGTTCCAGACCAGACAGGGCTACATGGCAAGATCCTGTCTCAAAAAATGAAATAAAAACCAACAAACAGATCTGTCATATAGACTACAGCACAGCTGCCTTTGTTTCAGAGCAGCGTTTCAGCTTCCCGATGCTGCGCAGGAACTTTAGCTCCTCATGCTGTGCTGACCCAACCACACAATTACTTCACTGCTACTCATAATCGTAGTTTCGCTACTGTTATGAGCTGTAATGTAAATATCTGATATGCTACCCCAAAGGGTGGCGAACCTGCTTGAGTGTTTTCATGACAAAGTCTCATTTGATCCTTTTCACGCTCTGTGGTAGACTGTGAAGGTGGGAAACTGAGGGTCAGAAACGCTCACGATCATAGAACAGGGGAGAGCTCAGACATGAGGCAACATTTCCAGTCTCGACCATGTTCTCTCTCTATAGGGGAAGGGTGAGACACAGGCGAGGAGTTTGGCATGCATGCTCTCGAAAGCCAAAACAACACAACAGGAACCCCAAATCCTAAGAGAGTGGGGCAGAATGTGTTCTGGCAAGAAAGCGGGTAGAAGGGAGAAGCTGGTGGAATCCCCAAGAAAGACAGTTCAGGATCAGTGCCCGCGGTAGCTGATCTCTGACGCTTGTGCTGACCGGCTCACTGACCCAGCACAGGGCAGGTGACATGGCTTGTGTAGGGACTGGAGCCAGACAGAACGGCCCAGTCCTAAGATACATTTCAGGCAGCCCCCTCCCTTCTCCAGGGCAAAGGCCACAGACCCAGGGTAGAAGAAAGGTGGAGGCTCGCCACCTGATGTCACTGCGTCTGGTCACAGGAGGAAAGGTCAACTAACCCTGTGCCTGACCTGCTGAGGTTGCAGATCCCAGGCCTCTCCTTGTCCCAGGGAGCCGGCCTTACCTTACCTAACAAACCACCGTAGCCACACCCTATGTCTGCAAACTCCACTTGGGCCCGAGCTTGCTTCTCTTTCTCATCCTTTGCATCATCATGGCTCTTATTTTGAATAAGCGGAGCAAAGAACTCTGGGTAAAGCTCAGACCAGTCCATCTCTTCTGGCTTCACAGGGCTATTGGAAAGAAGACAGACACATGAGACTGTAGGGCACGCCATTGTGACCTGTTTGTGTAGGGGTGGGAGGGGGATGGTAGATTTCTCAAAAAAATCCACAGTCGTGGGCCATGTGGTATCTAGAGGGCATGACAGAAAGTCCCCTGGCTCCTAGGGTGTGGATCACAGCCTTTCATGTTCTGGGTAGTAACATGCCAGGAAGCTCTCCTTTCTGGAACGAAAGTTCTTTCTCCCAGACACTGACTACCTGAGGTACTGGGACACTAATCTATTTATGTATGTGTTTTCTGTGCAGAGGATGAATCAAGGAGTGGCCAGGAGTGTGTATATGTTTATCTTTTTATAAACTAAAAAGCTAAAATAAAATAAAAAAATAAAAGCAAATCGGAGCCCGGTATGGTGGGGCACGCCTTTAATGTCAGCACT